TCTGCTACATGGCTTTGGTTAAAAAAAAAAAAAAAAAAAAAAAAAAAAATCTTTTTTCTTTTGTGCATATTGATTTATCCAACCAGCAGATGGCGCTCCACTTTCCTGTTGACATTCGCTATCAACCGTGAAAGGCTTCAGGAACCTTTTGTCATATATTACACATTTTTATTTCTAAAATAAAGATTGTGTATTTTATAGGGCTGAATTTTCATCACTGGAGCCTGTAGGCGTACATCTTTTGGTGCATAAAGGGGAGAGAACAATGTTCTTGGACAACTTGCCAGCCAGCTTGCTAACAACCGAAATAACCTGTCTAACAGTATGCGTTTATAACAGGGTTTAGTTAGAACACATTTGCAAATACATACGTAAGCCACAGAGCCACGACACGGCACCCTGGTAATCTGTGGTCCTAACTCTAAAATTTGTGAGTCCCCATAGTAGAGGCACATGCATGAGTTTTTGGTACGTGGGTGCACTAGGGCCCTGGTTGCCATTGTGCTACATGCTGGGGTCCAGTGCACTCCTTTGCCTTTAAGAGGGGTGGCTCCCTCAGGTCCACCGGCCCATGATCTATCCATTAAGTGCATGTGCCTCTACTATGGGGACTCACAAATTTTAGAGTTAGGACCACAGATTACCAGGGTGCCGTGTCGTGGCTCTGTGGCTTACGTATGTATTTGCAAATGTGTGCTAACTAAACCCCTGTTATAAACGCATACTGTTAGACAGGTTAATTCGGTTGTTAGCAAGCTGGCTGGCAAGTTGTCCAAGAACATTGTTCTCTCCCCTTTATTCACTATGTGATGCCTGTTTATGTGTCCTTGCTTCATAAGCCAGTTATAGACTTGGGCGGGTGGCCACTTTTATGTATGTACATCTTTTGGTGCGCTAAATAACACCCCTATGTTTGTACCACTGTTTTAAAAACTGGTCATTTGTTATTCTTCTGACCCTATACAAGTAAAAACCACTATCGCCCGACACCCAGGACATGTAGATCTCGGCAGGTAGGTTTTTGTTTTTTTTTTAAAGTTTAGCCCTGCTGCAGGCAAGTGCCACCTGATTGCTTCTACACACTCCTCTACAGTGCCAGCCTGTGCGCACCCCCCCCCCCCGGTCTCTTGGGCTCCGGTTGCCCATCTGCAGGCCTGGGTCCGGCTCAGCGGGTGCCAGCAGGTAGAGGAGAGGAAGGCAAGTCTCCTCCCCTTCTTGCTTCTTGTCCTGACCCAGAGGTGACGTGTATGACGTCACGTCCGGGTCCCCGTTGACAGATTTGTGATGTGATGTGCACTGCATTACATTCAGTGGAGCAAAATTGAGACATCCAGGCTCCTTTAGACCCCGGATGTCTCATTAAAGAGAACCTGTCGCCCAAAAATCATCACATAGGGGACTTTTTGTCCCCTACAGGTGAAACTCGAAAAATTAGATTTTCGTGCAAAAGTTCATTTATTTCAGTAATGCAACTAATATATGACATAGACTCATTACATGCAAAGCAAGATAGTTCAAGCCGTGATTTGTCATAATTGTGATGATTATGGCTTACAGCTCATGAAAACCCCAAATCCATAATCTCAGAAAATTAGAATATTGTGAAAAGGGGCAATATTCTAGGCTCAAAGTGTCCCACTCTAATCAGCTAATTAAGCCATAAACACCTGCAAAGGGCTCCTGAGCCTTTAAATGGTCTCTCAGTCTGGTTCAGTAGGAATCACAATCATGGGAAAAAACTGCTGACCTGACAGTTGTGCAGAAAACCATCATTGACACCCTCCATAAGGAGGGAAAGCCTCAAAAGGTAATTGCAAAAGAAGATGGATGTTCCCAAAGTGCTGTATCAAAGCACATTAATAGAAAGTTATGTGGAAGGGAAAAGTGTGGAAGAAAAAGGTGCCCAAGCAGCAGGGATGACCGCAGCCTGGAGAGGATTGTCAGGAAAAGGCCATTCAAAAGCGTTGGGGACTTTCACAAGGAGTGGACTGAGGCTGGAGTCCGTGCATCAAGAGCCACCACACAAAGACGGATCCTGGACATGGGCTTCAAATGTTGTATTCCTCTTGTCAAGCCGCTCCTGAACAACAAACAACATCAGAAGCGTCTTACCTGGGCTAAAGAAAAACAGACCTGGTCTGTTGCTCAGTGGTCCAAAGTCCTATTTTCTGATGAGGGCAACTTTTGCATCTCATTTGGAAACCAAGGACCCAGAGTATGGAGGAAGAATGGAGAGGCACACACTGCAAGATGCTTGAAGTCCAGTGTGAAGTTTCCACAGTCTGTTGATTTGGGGAGCCATGTCATCTGCTGGTGTTGGTCCACTGTGCTTCATTAAGTCCAGGGTCAACGCAGCCGTCTACCAGGAGATTTTGGAGCACTTCATGCTTCCTTCCGCAGACGAGCTTTATGGGGACGCTGACTTCATTTTCCAGCAGGACTTGGCACCTGTCCACACTGCCAAAAGCACCAAAACCTGGTTCAATGACCGTGGGATTACTGTGCTTGATTGGCCAGCAAACTCGCCTGACCTAAACCCCATAGAGAATCTATGGGGCATTGCCAAGAGAAAGATGAGAGACATGACACAGAACAATGCAGAAGAGCTGAAGGCTGCTATTGAAGCATCCTGGTCTTCCATAACACCTCAGCAGTGCCACAGGCTGATAGCTTCCATGCCACGCTGCATTGAGGCAGTAATTGCTGCAAAAGGGTCCCAAACCAAGTACTGAGTACATATGCATGCTTATACTTTTCAGAGGTCCGATATTGTTCTATGTACAATCCTTGTTTTATTGATTGCATGTAATATTCTAATTTTCTGAGATTGTGGATTTGGGGTTTTCATGAGCTGCAAGCCATAATCATCACAATTATGACAAATCACGGCTTGAACTATCTTGCTTTGCATGTAATGAGTCTATCTCATATATTAGTTGCATTAGACAAACTAAACCAGCGCTCCGATCTTCATGCAAACCAAGGAATTGCCAAAATGCCAATCGAAGAGGTGCTGCCCTTCTGAGATCGGGAAATCTGACCACTGGTGACTGAAAACAAACAAGGGCGCACTGTCATCGTGCATTACCGTGGTATACCACGTATTTTATTAAATAAAAAGGATGTATATTCACAAACCAACGTGATTATAGGCAGTATGAGTGATCCACAAAGACAGTCACAATACAACTGTGTCTAATGATGCGGATAAGCTGACGCGTTTCGGGGGCTGAACCCCCTTCCTCAGAGCTAGTAGCGGTTCAGCCCCGCGTCAGCTTATCCACATCATGAACTTTTGCACAATATTCTAATTTTTCGAGTTTCACCTGTAGGGGACAAAAAGTCCCCTATGTGATGATTTTTGCCGACAGCTTCTCTTTAATGAGACATCCGGGGTCTAAAAGAGCTTTTTTGCTCCACTGAATGTAATGCAGTGCATATCACATCACAAATCTATCAACGGGGACCCGGACTTGACGTCATACACGTCACTTCTGGGTCAGGACAAGAAGCAAGAAGGGGAGGAGACTTGCCTTCCTCTCTTCTACCTGCTGGCACTCGCTGAGCCGGACCCAGGCCTGCAGATGAGCAAGCGGAGCCCAAGAGACTGGGGGGGGGGGGGGGGGGGGGGTGCGCACAGGCTGGCACTGTAGAGGAGTGTGTAGAAGCAATCAGGTGGCACTTGTCCACCTGACCAGTGAGCCCTGCTGCTTGCCTGCAGCAGGGCTAAACTTTAATAAAAAAACCAAAAACCTACCTGCCGAGATCTACATGTCCTGGGTGTCGGGCGATAGTGGTTTTTACTTGTATAGGGTCAGAAGAATAACAAAATGACCAGTTTTAAAACAGTGGTACAAACATGGGGGTGTTATTTAGGGCACCAAAAGATGTACGCCTACAGGCTCCAGTGATGAAAATTCAGCCCTATAAAATAACACACAATCTTTATTTTAGAAATAAAAATGTGTAGTATATGACAAAAGGTTCCTGAAGCCTTTCATGGTTGATAGCGAATGTCAACAGGAAAGTGGAGCGCCATCTGCTGGTTGGATAAATCAATATGCACTTACTGGGATTTTTTCCTTTTTTTTTTTTAACCAAAGCCATGTAGCAGAATACATTTTGGCCAAAATTTGAGATTTGATGTTTTTATAGCGGCAAGTACATTTTTTTTTTTTCTTTTTAAATGATCAGTCTTTTTTTTCTTTTATAGCGCAAAAATAAAAAAAAACAGTGGTGACCAAATACCACTAAAAGAAAGCTATTTATGGCAAAAAAATTGTATGATTTTTGATTATTTGTTGCATGACCATGCAATTGTCAGGTAAAATAGCGCTGTGCAGTATAGCAAAAACAAAAAAAAAAATATATATATTTTTTTTTTTTTCTCCAACTCTAGTGGTGTTAGGACAGGTTGTATTAACTACTTTTCATATATTGTATCAGAATAACAGGTGGACTGTGGCTTAGTCCTTATGTCTTGTACTGGGGTCCTTGGTTTGATTTTGGGCCAGGAAGCTATGTGCATGGAGTTTGTATGCTCTCCGTGTTTTTGTGGGTGTCCTCCTGAATACTGCAAATTTCATCTCACACCAAAGACATGATTGCAAGCTGATTGGCTTCTGTCTAAATTGGCCTGAGTATGTATGTAAGATTGTAAGCTCGAAAGAGCAGGGCTCTCGATCCCCTCATGTTTTGCATTGTTATGTCCCCCATTGTAATGTACAGCGCTGAGCGAACTATTGGCGCTTTATAAATACTGTATAATAATAATAATGTGTATGTTCTGAATGCCAGTGAAAATCTCCAGGAGTTGGGAAAAGGCCCAGTGGCTTATCTCGTAAAAAGAAAACTTGCCATGAATATTTTACTAAAAAGGCTGGTAAACGCATTTGACATAGTGCACGGAAAGCTGGCCTGTAGGGCCACAGAGAGTCAGATACAACTGAAAGGATAGGTATACATACTGTACATCAGATTGACATTTTTATTTCACACAGCTTGGACATGGGTCTGGCCTACCTCGAGAGCTTCTGTCTGGATATGAAAATGATGAGGAGTTCCTGAAAAAAGTTCATCACGTGCTACTGGAGGTAGGGTAAAAGAAAAATTGGTGCACATTATAGCAGCGAGTATCTATTCTTCCCATTTTACATTTCTTATGCTTTGTCTCCTGCTAGGTTGAAATCATTGAAGGTGCACTAAAGTGCCCAGAATCTGGAACAGAATTTCCCATCACAAGAGGAATTCCCAACATGCTTATTAATGAAGAGGAATCCTAACAAACTTTTCTAAATCCTGCAATGTAAATATTTCTTCCACCATGTTTTATTCTTCTCATTAAATGTTCTGTTTCCTGTTCTTGGATTGGTGACAGTGGCTTCTCTTGGGATGAGATAAGTAGAAAACCAAAGGAAGTAAAAAATAATGAACACACAAGGAAATATCCCTGATGTTTATTGCAGTCCAGGCCTTTGGAGCCATATCTGTATACAGTGATCTGTATATAATATACATTTCTAAGCAATGAGGTATATTACATATGCACATTATTCTATATACAGAGTTGCCCAGTACAGTCAGGGCTAGAAGAGTCAAACTAATGCGAATACAGAGGTATAGGGAAGAGGATTACACACATGAAAATGCACTGAACATGAAAAAAAAAAAATCAATTTATGGCCCATTGACATGTGGGTCAGCATTCATTGCAACTATAGAACTACTCAAAAACAGGCTGCTGCTGGCACAGGGGGTGAAAATACAGGAGAATGCTAGCAATCAAGACGAAGACTGAGACACCGTTCATGGTAAAGATGAGCCTATGGGTCAATCTCACAAAATAAAATTTTGTCCAAATCCTATATTGCTGCTTAAACCACACAAAATTATGAGATATATTTCCAAGCAAATATTTGGCCAAATACCTTCAGCTGATCAATTTACAGGCTTATTAAAAATGTAAAATGCAGTACCCATACCAACCAATCAGAATCCATCATGTACCTGTCAGATTGTAAAAAATGGGTGTATTAAAGTGATTGGAAATCCTTACACATAGAGCCAGTGAAGTGGATGACCACAGGGATGAAGCAAATTATCCTATGTAAGTTGTACCCCCGTCTATCTGCAGTCTTCTTTTCTCTACATCCTTTCAAAGTGCTGAGTTTATAAAGCTTGTCTGAGAGTTCAGAAATAAGGGCAGGGATCTTAAATGACACTCTGTAGGACGCAGTGAGGGGTCTCAGAGCTGATTGGAGGGATGGGACACCTCCCCCCCCCCCCATCATCATCCCCTTCACAAAGCTCACAGGACCAGAGCTGAGGCTGTCAATCTACTGGAGGTCCCTCCTCTGTCACCATTCCTCTCTCAGGAGAACTTGTCAGAAGTCATTCATACTGGCAGCAGACAGAAATGACACTCAGTTGGGATATGCTTTGTTCATATTTCATGCCTGAGAATTACAACCACTTTAAAGCGGAGTTCCACTCACTCTGTAAAAAAATAAGTCAGCAGCTACAAAAACTGTAGCTGCTGACTTTTAAAAAAAACAGCCACTCACCTGTCCCACGATCCCACATTGCCCCCCGCCGCAGCCCGTTTCACTGGCCGTCCTATATTCCAGGCATCGGCATCTTCAGTGTGGGCACCCAGCTGTGACAGCCGGGTGCCCACTGCGCATGCACGAGTAGCGCTGTGCTTCCTGAATGGCCATGTTGTCTTCTGGGACCTGTCACGTGTCCCACAAGACTTCGGGGACTGCCGTTTCTAATCGCAGCGGAAGTGGGAGCGGGTACCTGTCAAATTCAGGTACACGTTTCCCCCAACCCCCCAAAGGTGCCAATCCTTAATGTTGAGCGGGGGAACAATCTTTAAAGCAGAACTTCCCCTTTTGGGTGGAACTCCGCTTTAAGTAAGGCCCTACTATACAATAGAACTCTTTTCTAACCACTGCTGATGAGTATTTAAGTTTTTGCGCCCTGAACTACTTTTTGTATTTTATGACTACATTCAATAGTACACTTGATTAAAATGATAGTCAAATTAGCACTTAACACAGCTATGCTCAAGAGGATGTTATCCCTGATCTCTTTGCCAATCTGTTGTGGCTGGAGGATTTAAGAGCCATGAAAACATACAGCATGGTGCAAGAAGCCCAATTATTAACATTTGTTCTCTTCGTAGCATCCAGTGTGTGAGCCCTTACAGAAAACAAAAAAATTCCCCACTTTTAAAATACATCTGTCGTGACATAACAGGTTTGCCAGTGCTGTCCTCTTTCTTTTGAGAATGTTGTTTGCTTGGCTGCCATGCTTTAAGTTCAGTTTTTTCCAACTTACTGATTGTTTAGGAATTTCAACAATACAACCAAGCAACTAGCATTTTCCAGTGGCCAGCAATGCATCCCCCATGCTTGTTTTCATGACAAGTGTCATTTAAAGCCGGCCTTGTACTAAAATGTTTCCTCTGTAGAAGAAAAATATTGAGGTTGATGCCACAATTGCAATGAAAACACTGAGGGTCCCAGAATTTCAGCAAAAGGATGACAATGTCACCTGCTATAGCATTGGGGGGGGGGCTGATCTAATAATTATAAAAAAGAAAAGACCTGTGTCTTGATTTACTAGAGGAAATTAGACTGCAGTTGCATTCATTTCCCTTGGTAATTGTAAAGCATACCCAATCAGGTGCAAGGAAATTTAAAAAGAAAAACAGAAAAGCATTTTTGCTGGTACATGATTGGATGGTGGAAAATCAGCAGTGTTTTACCATTTTTACAAAGATCTGGGGAAAATGATTACAACTGCAAAGTGCGCAGTCAATTTGCCTTTAGTAAATCCACCTCCTTTGCATTGTAGTGCAAGTAACTTCTAGCAGCCTTTCAAGATCCACCCGAACAACTAACACTTAATTTGCATAAAGATGAGAAAACGAGATGGCTGCTTATATAATCTCATTACAATATTTAACACTAGCAATCACAAAACATACACATGGCGATTTTGCAAGCATTCAATCCGCTTTGTTTTTTTTTTTTTAAATTAAGGAAAGTGAATGGGCTGCTGTGTTTTCTGTCAAATTTTTCTCAGTTTTAAGCCACAAGATTGCTTTTGGTTGAAAATCATGGAGAGGACTGTGTTGGTTTAAATATATTTCTAATGCACTTGCAATAATTTGGCAACATAAAATTGATAAACAAATAATACATGAATGAAAAAGTGCTGCCGAGAATCCAATTCCATTTGATATTTGTTTTTCATCTGGTAAAGATGGAAATCATTGCAAATTGCCATAAATATGTTTGTATGGTACTTGTATTTATATGTGGGACACTGTGTTTAAAAATATCTGAACAAAACCATGTTTGTAGTGATAACAAACCTCACCCTTTGAAATAGATTCATCATGAGAAACTTTCCCAAATGGCTGTAGCAGAATCTGAGAATCTGATCAGACCCTTCATGTGAAAGGGGCCTTATAGGGACACCTTGTGGCCAATATCAGCATTGCTACAGTTAAGATCACTTCAAGTTACACTTTTAAGTACATATTATTCATCCTACTGGGAGGATCACCTTCAGTGAGAACTACATTTCTAAGGGCCCCTTCACACAGCTGATCCCATGCTGGTTGGAACAGGATGAGGTGGATGACAGGACACACACTGACCGCACTCTGCGGTGGGGGGGGGGGGGGGGTAAACGGACTCTGCTGCCTGTTTATACTCAGCTGGCTGTGATCCAGTCCACCCAAACATAGATTGTGGATTTTTTGGCGGGCCTGATCAGATTTGGAGGTAGGCAGGTGTGACAAAAGTTCATTTACACCTGCCTGTCCATAGAGCTGCATGGACCTACTGATCAGGTCTAGCTGAGAAACAGACAGGTGGAACTGATCAGATAACCTTAAGAGCCCTAAAAAAGTAGATCCAGAAATAGGAGAAGCTGAACCTATGTTTACATCTTGGTACTCCAGTTTAAAAAAAAAAATAGTGTGCAGAATCTGTTAAAGATAAAAAACTTTTGTTGCTGAACCAACCCAGAGTTCTCTGGTGCAGCCATTCCTTTCAGCTCCTAAACATCTTGGTAATTGAAGGATGGGCCAGCGGTAGTGGTGCACCGAAATGAAAAATTTTTGTGCCGATACCAAAAATTCAGAATGCCTGGGGGGAGGCTACAATTTTTTTTTTCTCTACTTTCATATATATATATATTTTTTTTTTTTTCAACTTAGGATTCTATTGCTATCAAATAGGGACCAATAGTCCCCTATGTGATAGGTCCTCTTTGTAGGGGGAAGGGGGCAGTGTATATAGAGAGACTCCCTCACTGGCTGTCACTATGTTAGTGCAGGTTTTTAAATGCAATTGTCTGCTTTTTTTTTTTCCTCTCTTCACTATAGCTCACAGCATTAGCTGTCACTTTCCCTGGAGTTAAAGGAAACTTGTTCTTTTAACTTGGGAAATAAACTAAAAGGATACTTTGTTTCTTTTAGCTGGGGGGAAAGTGACAGCTAATCCTGTGAGTTATAGTGAAGGGGGAAAAAAAAACCTGGCACTGACTATACTGACAGCCAGTCACTGTATACACTGCTCCTCTCCTGCCTTTCTCAACCACCCCCTCACATCTACAGTACACACAGTCTCCTGTATCAGCTAAATTTTTCCTAGCAGCTTAGCTATTTTCGGCCTGTAAGTTTTGGTGGCCGAAATTTTGGCGCATCCCTAGCCAGCTCATTCCAATTACTTTCTGTGAGCCTAGACTGTCATGCTGGGATTGATGTAACAACTAGCCTCATTCAGCCCACTTCCTGTCCCAGAGCACTCCTAGGACTCGTTCACACCATACATGCATGGAAATTGGCGCACAGATTTCACTTGCAGAGACATCAGTTTTCATGCATGCAGGAGTTTTTTATACACGTTGCAGATTGCTGTGCAGAAAAAAAAAATCTGCATGTGGTACTAGTGTTTTGGTGTGAACAGGGCACATAGAGAGCAGTTGATTTTGTTGTGCCATGCAGAAAAACTGACATCTCTACACCATGATGTGAACAAGCCCCGAGTGGTACTTCCTTTTGAACTGCCACCAGAGGAGGGCAGGAAGGACCTGTGACAATATTGGACCAGCCCGAAGACTGCAGGATTTACACATAAGAATTACATATTCTTTACACACAAGAATTACATAAAAAAAAAAAAAAAAACAAAAACAGATTCATAAATACCTTTAGGTGCCTATAGCTCAGGATCTACTGCAGCACTTACTGCTTAGCATATGCAAAATTCATGGAAAATCATATGACCAAATAAGCAGTAGATCCAGAGGTACAGGCAGCTGAGACTTTTACCATTGATGCTGGCTTTTAGCTTTTCTCTCTTGAACGTGATTTTTTTTTTTTTTTGGTTAAGCCTGTAAACACCTCACTGTGCATGGACACATAGGCTAACATAGAGATGCTTTTGCAGGCTGAACAAAAAAAAAAAAAAAGTAAAATTCCTTTTAACTGGCTTTTTTTTTTTTTTAAAAGCACATTGTGCAGGAGGCCTTAGATGTTATTCCAGATTTCCATGGACCTGATTCTTCTGAAAATAAAGTGAGGCAAAGACTAACAATGATGACAAATGATACTGCGTGTGCAGAATGATTGTCAGAACCGGTGCTGTTTAATCTAAATCAGTGGTCTCCAAACTGTAGCCCTGGGCTTGCTCTTCCACTGATACCAACGTTGGGGCATAAATTTCCCCCTCACTGATACCAGTGAAGTGGCAGAATGACTCCCACCAACAATTGGTTACAGTTCCTCCCAACCACACTAAAGATATGGGGCACAAGTCCTCTCAATGACACCAACAATGGGGCCCACTGCCACCAATGATGGGGGACAATTCCTCCAAATCAGTTCAACAATGGAGCACGATTCCTCCCAATGGCATTGACAATGGGACATTGTTTATTCCACTAATATCAGGACCTTTCCTACTCCCAGTGCCAAAGTCTGGCTCCCCTTAAGTCTGAAGGACAGTAAACTGGCCCTTTGTTTAGAAAGTTTGGAGACCCCTGCTCTATATTAACATAGAGGGACCTGGATAGGTGTCTGTTTATACATACAAAGGTAACTCTTGTGAGACAAAACCGATAAACCTCTATTGGCATTTACCAAAAAAAGTAACTTATTTTCTTATAAGCATGATATCCAGTTACAACTAATCAGAATCCATGTTCTGACTTTAGCAGAATAAATCCTGATTGGTTTATAGGGGTTACTGCATTTAAAAGATTCTCATTAGGAACAGGAACTCTACTGAATAAAGCCATATATATCCATTATTGAAAAGTGGAATGTTACAGGTATCCCAACAAACATATCAACTATGAACATGTTCAGGAAGGCTCTCTGATTGGGGTCAATTTCTATACAGGGTCAAAAAAAATGTGCACATGTGTCTGAATACAAAATCTACAATGTATTGACCAAAAGTGCAAACCCCGTATAATATTCCACTTCCAAACCACGTTCTATGAAAGAGGTGGATGGTTCAAATGAACAGAAACACTTGTTGATTTACTAAAACTGGAGCGTGCAAACTCTGGTGCAGCTGTGCAGGGTAGCCAATCAGCTTCCAACTTCAGCTTGTTCAAATATGCTTTGACAAAAAACAACTGGAAGCTGATTGGTTTCTATGCAGAGCTGCACCAGATGTTGCACTCTCCAGTTTAGTAAATCATCCCCCCTCCACTGTTTTGGGCAAAGAAAAAGTGAAATCAGAAGCACAATAGGAAATTGCTTAACACAAACAGCACCTGCAATTTCAAATCAATAGTGTTCGTAAAATTTAAAATCAACTCAAGTATTTAAAAATGCTCTCATATAGGAACAACATATGTCTTGTTCCTAAAACAGTACCATACATCCTAAAGTAATAATTTTTGAGACATTGAACACATAGATTGTCACTAAATAAGATGATTTCGGCATATTTTCACTAAAAAATAAAAACAAGTAACTGGCATGTAGTCATACACAATAAAATACAGTAAGAGAGGATGAGGGACACAAACCAATAACTTACTTTCAGCAGTTATGACGTGCCCTATTGCTTACAAGGAGCAGCATATGGCTCAAGTGTTCATTTAAGGATGGAAGGACTCCCAGCTCTATTTGCCATTGTTATCCCACCATGGGATATTAACACATTGCTTAATTAAATAGGAATAAAACAAAACACTGATTTTGTTACATAGGCTCCAGGGAAGACACCCCTTCCCATCAGTCACTGTCCCATGGCTTATATCTTCTTAGCTGTGCATCCAATAACTATGCGTTTTGCTTCATATGTCTATACCAGTCTTGTGGTATCTTCCTTGTTAGTCTATAAGGAATTCCAAGAAGTATTTGTGCATAAGAAACCCTTAAACGTCTGACCCCCATACATTCATTAAATCGTCTTGCTTTGCACATAGTTAAAGGAGATTACAGGAGACTCCTGCAGGTAGAATGCCTCCATTTTAGTCCATCATGGCCTCCAACATCTCCAGGAAAAGCTTGTGCATAGGGACGGTCCCCTCCTCCCGCAGGGCGTGGAAGTGCTGAAGGACGCGCCCTGCTGTCTGACGGAGTAAGGGGAGTGTTAGAAGCAGTTTTCCATCACGACAGGGTTCCTCGGGGTGACGACTTGATTCATACTCGCTAAGTGCCTCTTGTAGGGCATCGCGAAGACGCAGAACAGCTTCAGGGTCTTCAATGTGTACAGAGTCTGTGGAGATAGAGCACATACATTAGATAATACATATATAACATGGAAAGGAACCACTAGAAAGCAAAGACAGGTTGGTAACCTGACCTGTCTTGACTGCATTTAAAGGAGAAGTATGGCCAAAGCTCTATCAGTCATACTTCTCCTGTGGGTCACTTCGTTCTGCATTCCTATGACCCAGATTCAGGAAACAGTAAGCTAAAGCCTGATAGAGCATGGAGGGATCCCGACAATAATGTCAGGACCTGCCCTGATGCCTGACTGGCAGCTGTCTCAGGCTTTTAGTGTGCTGATTAGAGCCTGATTCAGATGCTCCCATCCCCTCTACAGTCTGGTGCTTCAGTTAGCGCATTGGATTGATGCTACAATCATCTAGGAAAGTATGTTTTGGGTTATTTTATTCCTGCATTTCTCTTGAGCAATACAGCCTGGTCACCTTGTGATACCAGCCTGTCGCTGGACAGTGAAGTCACAGAAGGAACAGTAATAAGTCTTCTCTTTCCTCACAGCTCCTCTCAGAATATTCCTTGTAAACTAATATGCACTGCAGGGCACCTGACTGGCCCCTAATACTGTCCTAGTGCCCCTGTCCAGCTGGAGTTTCAATTTCTGTATTATATATACATTTGTAAAATCTGTATCATTCAGGACAATCTGTTTTTCACTAATCATGAAGACCCAGCCAGATGTGAATGATAGACCTGCACCTAAATAGAACAGTAAATGTGTCCATAGACACTATAGGGTGGTCAGACATGCTGACACTATACAACTGCCTAGGCATTGGACCCTCAGATAACAGTTTGTGTGTTTAGGCTTATGTAAATGGATAGGAGAGGTGTGCTACATCCACCTCCAGTGCCAACTCAAAAGGGGGTCAGAGGGGGCTCCATAAACCTGTCCAATTGACATACAAAAGTCCTGATTGGTGGATACATCACAGATATCAGGCTATTGCCTGTCTCATATCTGTAGGCATACTACAAGGAAGTCTGTAAAGACAGACATGAAAATGTTGTTTCTAAAAAGGTACATGTAGTCGCTTTAAATTACTACACCAGACTAGTATAGACAAAGTAAAGCAGGTGTCCCAACACCTTATATGCATATGTTACGGATGAAAGGATCAGGATGACAGTCTCTAATCATATATCTTCAAAGCAAATCAGCAATGACAGCTTACATATTTTATCCCATCAGGTTCTTTTTAACCACTTCCCGTCTGGCCCATGTGTATAAACAGCCGGATGGCAGCAGTGCAGGAGCGGGTTGCCGTTCATAAACGGCACCCACATTTTCAGCCTGTGTGCACTCACTGGGAGCGAGCTGTACGGAACCTCTGTGTGAGGTCCCGATCATGTGATCACCGATTGGCAAATCAGTGATCACATGAATAGTAGTAAGCAAGATGTCACTTCTGACATCATTGCTTACTACACGTGAAATCTGTGAATGATCACAGAGGTCACATGGTACAAGGCTATTCACAACAGCCTTGTACTATGTGACAAGCTGTGACCAATCACAGCTCTCACAGTATTTCTCAATGGCTGCAAGAATGCAGCCAGAGAGAAGGAGAAATTATTGCTTTTACAGCTTTTATGGGTGTAAAAGCAATCAGTGTAAAAAAAAAAATCTTCATCACCCCCCACAAGTAGTACAGTGTCTCTATGGCGAGACTGTTGACAGTATGTTAAAAACAAATAATATATAAAAATAAAATGTAAAAAAACTTTTTTTTCAAATTATAATTTTTGGTTATAAACTAATTTGGGTTATTTTTCTTTACTAAAAAGATAGCTGAATACATTTTGGCCAAGATTTATTATGAAGATTATTTATTTGCAAAATTTTATAAGAAAAACTTTTTTTTTATTTTTGGACTTTTTCATTTACATAAAAAAAAAAAAAAAAAAATCCCAGTGGTGAATAAATACCACCAAAATAAAGTTTTATCTGTCTCAAAAAAATGCTAAAACATTCATACGGGTACAGTGTTGCATGACCGCACAATTGTCATTCAAAGTGTGACAGCGCTGAAAGCTGAAAATTGGCTTGGACAGGAAGATGGTGAAAGTGTCCGGACTTGAAGTGGTTAAAGAATAACTAAACCTTCCTATTCTTTCACGTCAAGGAAGCTGCTAACTTAGCTTCTATGTGATCTGCAGCTGCCATGGTGCTTCACATGTGATCAGTTGTGCCAGACATACAGAAGAATACACTGTGGATTTACATGCACCTTAAAGTAATGAGACAAATAGGCAGCATGCCTGTGAGGCAACTGGCATTTCCAAAACTGTTTATGTCAGACTGAATAGGATCTTCACTGTGTTAATCTATGGAAGCCAGTGATTTATGTACTCTGTATTAAGGTATTAAAAAACAGTATACAAATTCCTTCAATGTGAAAAGGACAAAGATACATTTACGTTTACTTAAAAAATACACGGAGACACACGAGCTGTGTAAACTTCTCACCAGAGTTTGTAAGTGTGAGGGCCTTCAACATAACATATTCCTCTCTTTCCACACGTAATGCACGATACTTGCGCACCAAATGAAGAACACAGGAACAGAGGTCTGAAAGACGGGCCGAGCGAGATGATTCCTCATCCAGAACAAAATCCTCTGCAAACACAACTTCATCTTCGTAAGGAAGGGACCGAAATACCACCCCAAGGAGGAGAACCTCCATCCAGACACTTTGCAATAGACTCATCTGGTCTGATAATGACAGTGAGGAAAAACCTGTGAAAAGACAAGTTGTAGTCATGAACCCTTCTCCACATAGCAGCTGTAAGGGCAAAAACATTTATATCTGTGCATATTTATTTGTCGACATGAAGCTCCAAAAAGTAATGAGCATTCTTCCATGACAGGGTCACTATTGTAAAGTGGAGAAAAAGAAACCATAAAGCCACAAAACACAATAAAATGAAAGGCTAAGTGCAGGCAAAAGTTTTTTTTGGGGGAAGAAAATCTAACTTGTGTTAGGTTTTAAATGCTGACTGCATTCCTGTTGAGAATAATTTTTTGGTAAAATATTAAAAGAGAAGTATGGATTTTGAAAAAGAAAAAACCCCCAAAAAACCATTTACACTCACTGAGGTGGATGCATCAGTCTGATACTACATCTGTTCCTCGCCGGCTCAAAGACTGAGAACTGAGTGATCAAAGACCACTGCTCGCTCAGCTCTTGGTCTTCAGTCTGCAGAGAGCTGGTGACTGTCAGCCACCGGCTCTCTGCTCTCCCCCTTCAGCGCTCACTGGATCACTGGGCTATGAATGGGGCGAGGATGGCTGGCTCATACTCTCCGTGGCACGCTGAGAGCCAGAGCCAGCTGCCAGTCCAGGCATCTGGGTGGAGAGGCTGAGTGACGTCAGCAGACACAGCGGGCTTTGGCCCACTGTTGGCTGAAAACAGGTAACGGGACCACAAAACAAACTGCACTCCTGTGATCCCTAGCAGAAGTACAGCCAAAATAGCTTTGGCTATACTTCTACTTTAAGTACGGTTTATGTCCTAATACAGGACTTTTCTCAACAATTCTGTCAGCGTCACCTGGACAGGAAGCAAGGGAAAAATGTCCCTAATGGGGAATACATGCTGACAGAGGCTTTCTCCTCACTTTCCTAGACTTTGCTGTGTCTATATTTGAGAGGGAATTTCCCACCACTTCCTGTTTTTGTCTGACAACCCTCAAGTAGACAAGAAATAAGGAGACAATCCCCAAATGGGGACATATGTAGCAATAAAAGGTTAACAAAAAGGTTTTACCCCTTCCTCACTCACAAAAAAAAAAAAAAAAAAAAAAAAAATGGAAAAGATTGGGTGTATGTAAAGCCAAAAAACTTTGTATATATATTTTTTTTTTCATAGAATGGGGAAAGGTTAGAACCTCTGTCAGATTTTTTTTTTTTATTGCTGTGTGTCTTCTGGGAAAATGTTCTCTCTCTATTGTCTCCTGTACCGAAATCCAACATTTTTGATTTGTCACAGAACAGGTGAGGGGAATCTTCCAATGGGGATACCTGTTCTGAAGTCAACTGTCTAAAAGTGGATATCGCCTCATTTGGAGAGATTTACGCTTACTTCCTAATTTGTCTGTGGGGACAGGAGGGGAAGGAAAATCTCAGACAACAGAAAACTGGAGTCTTTACCATCTTCTACTCTAAATCTGCTTTTGGCTTCACATACACTTCATGAAAAGCAGCTGAATTCTTTGTTTCACTGGATGCTCTGCATGTCTCCCACCACATTTCACAAAGATTAGAGCTTTTGAATTTGTAAGGAAGTAGATATATGTAAAGGCCTTTTGTAACTCTGAGTGCAGTTAAACTTTCTCTTATTAAATGTTACTGCAAATCAGAATTCATGACTAATTCATGATTTAGGTGCACAGACCCAGTTTCCAATCATTAATGCAAAACCCCCGGCTACAAACATGGACCCAGAATCTGGTTTGAACTACCACACTGCTCCATGTTATACCTGGCTTCAGGAACAACTACAGAACTGACACAAAGCCTCAAAATGATGGCAAAATAATTCTAGTTGTGTTTGCTTTAAAACGTTTGAGCTCTACAGGTCAAAAAGGACAATTCATAATCAAATAAGAAGTGTGAAATACTAGTCTGAGATGGCCACCAATCCATTTTAAATTAGTACTTGCTTACCTGGGATGTTCTTAGCCCAGCTGATAATGATGACAATCTCTCGGTCTGCGAGGTCACATAAAGTGCTCATAGATTTCAGGTAGCCATCAGGAAGTGCTGGATCTGGCATTGCAAACAGTTTTATCTGGCTCTGCTACCAAGAGGTGAGAGACTACAGTGTTGACTGGAGCTAAAGATCAGAAAATGCAAGGAATTGATGAAAAAGAAGTCAGTTTATTGTAAATCTTTTTAATTAAAACAAGTTTGTTTTACCTTCACTTTGAAGAGAGTTTGTGTCCAGGTGATGAGGATTCATGTTTTACATATTCTTATTAAGTACTAAATTAGCTTTTAAACAGGCCCTCAATAACTCTGTAGCAGCTAACACTGTGGAGCAATTCATCCTCAAATGTTCATAGCAGTCCTTTCGTCAGTTCAGCTAACCCAGCTTCCCCCTTTCATTAGTGACTTAATGACTTTCCAGCTTTCTAATCCTGAATGTGAACACACAGCAGGAGCTCTGGCACTGGGGAGCAGGATGAGTTTAGCTGGCCTAGACAACAAGTTCAGTGCTACTGCTGCTGTGAAATGTAAGGATGTATTACACAAAAGTGACAGAAGCAACGGAGGGAAACAAGGGGTTGGTTTTAAAGCTTATTTACCACTTAAGAATACATAAATCCTTGAATGTCCGTAGCCTGGCCACACGTTAACAATCAGTGTTTTAACTCAGGAAAGTTCTCCTTGTCAAACTAAACTAAACTAAAAAAAAGCAGTTTTTGAAAATATCCAAAATGTTATTTTTGTCATCTCAAGAAGAGTAGAGTGGATATCTTCAGGTGAAAAATTGTCAATGTTAGTATTTCCCCCATTATCTGGGAAGATTTATGTACTGTACTATGCATTGGGGTACCATTCTAAATAGATGGCCCTGCATTTATTATTTTTTTTCCTAAGGGGCCTGCAGAGTATTGCACCTGAAATCAGCATATTGTGGGTGCAATCTCAGGCTCCTGCAGACTCTCAAGGTAGCTGTCTGCCCGTACCTTGCATGGGCAGGCAGTTACCTGAGACCAGGAAGATCAATGAACTACCAGGATGCACACCAGCGCCCTCGTAGTTCATTGTGAACTACAATCAGTCAGCTGCAATGGATGACAGTACTTGTAGTGTATCTTTTCACAGGAAACTGTGAATGAATGAAGGATGCAGCCATGTCGGCACTGGTTTCAAATAGTGACAGCAGATGCAGAGAGAGAGGATCCCATGCACACTGTTACAGGGAGGGGGAGTTCATTGTGAACTACAATCAGTCAGCTGCATTGGATGACAGTACTTGTAGTGTATCTTTTCACAGGAAACTGTGAATGAATGAAGGATGTAACCGTGTCGGCACTGGTTTCAAATAGTGACAGCAGATGCAGGGAGAGGATCCCATGCACACTGTTACAGGGAGGGGGAAGATCGGAGGGGAGAAGCTGCAGATGATGGAACATGTGAGATGTTCCAATCTAAAAATGGGTGGAACATGTTCCAAAGGTGAACTTGTTCTTTAATCCTTACGCTTCACCTAACACCTAAAGGGTGCCTAACATTTAACTCCCTCTCCCCCCCCCACCCCCAACCTGACATTTAGGATAACTTATGTATCCTTCACAAAGAATCTGTCATGACAAGAAACTTAAACAACAGGACAATGTTGAGAAACACTGACAAATATTATAACATGAGAAGTTGTCAGGCAATGCTAACCTGAACTAGTACAAGAAGCCAGGACCCCAAATATTACAGCCAAACAATATACTGACATTAAAAACCTGGCTATAGATTAATTTTTTTTCTCAGTAGGTGTTCAAAACAGTAAGTATTTAATTGTTGGCACTATATATCTGTGTAATAATAATAATTTCCAACACCAAATCACACTTATATTATAGAAATGATCGAACCTTGTTTTTTGACTACTGATGTTGTACTTTGCTGGGACTGTCCCCCGGGAGTATACTGTAGAATTTCTCCTTCTGGTCGTCGCTTGTATTTCTGCCGTCCACCTCTGACTCGGTCTAATCGCACCCCTGTAGATTAATACCAATAATTATTGCAAAGTTTCCCTTTTAAATTTTATCTCGCTGAAATGGTGACTACAAAATAATTCAACATTCAAAAGCTCAACAAGTAAATCCAGAGCAATTTCTCTATGCCACAAGTCCCGACACTGTTGCTGCCCACATTTAAAGTGATAATAAACCCTCAGCTTTTAAACACTTTCAGCGGCTGAATTATTCACTTACTGTGTATGCAGCTTCTTTTATCTTTTAATCCTTGCCTATGTTCCAGCTTACAGCGGAACTTCACTCTCAATCAACATTGATTATTTTGAGTCCTTATGCTGCTAGCATTAGTAAATAGATAGGAAAGTATATCATATTTACTTGTTTTAAGCTTTTTATTTTTTTACATTTCTTTAGTTATTTCCTGGTTTCCATGCCTAGGCAGATGATGTCATACATCCCAGGAGTCTTCAGGAGAGGAGAGGAAGGGAGAGGGGGTTCTTAGTTAAGCACACCATCCTGTCTGCATGCCTGCGCTGAGGGCAGATGGATTCCAGGAAGTAAATAGTACAGGAATTATCTGCCCTTACTCAAGATGGCCATGGCCTGCAATGCTACGGGGGTGTTTTTCAAAGTGTTTTCCCAGCAAAATAAAGCATGGAATCATGAATAGATGAGTGAGTTTTCTTTAAATATTAAGTGAACTAAATTGTGTTTTTGGTTTGTGGTGTAGTTACAGTGTAGTTCTGCTTTAAGCTGGTTACTGTTTTAAGGTGGCTCCTTTCTCCTGTGGTGTCCTATGGAGCCAACCTTGCACACAGGGACTAGAGCCGTGTCTCTGTACACTGTGTATAAATAGAAACACACAGCCCTGTAGCCTAGGTTGGCAAGGCACTCCCCTGCTCCTCCCTCCTTCTCCCCTCTCCAAGCTAATAGACTGACTGGAGACTGCACTGTTCACTGTTAACTCTTTCCTACGAATATAGAGGTTCGGGAAAGCAGCACTGAGAGAGCAGGAAAGTTGTAAACTGCAAAAATAAGGTAAGAATTTTAACAAATACTTTGCTGAGGAATGTTTATTTGATTGTGCTCAATGTGTTAAGCCAGGAGTCTCCAAACTATGGCCCTCCATCTGTTAAAGTACTACAAGTCCCATCATGCCTCTGCCTCTGGGAGTCTTGCCTGTGGCTGTCGGAGTCTTGCAGGGCCTCATGGGACTTGCAGTTCCTCAACACCTGGCGGGCCATAGTTTGGAGACCCTTGTGTTAAGCTAAAAAACGCTGAGGGGTTAATACTAATTATTTCAGATGTTTGCTGAATTTACTACAATATAAATAAAATATATTATGGTGAATAGAGACAGAGTAGCTCGCTACAGAACAATAAATGATGCTACTATTGGTAAGATATTTGTGCGTAATTTTTTTTCATATTGACTGTGCTGTTATGAGCCAGAATTGGCAGGTTGAGGGACAGTAATGAAAAGTCTGGGTGGGATATACATAGGATTGTAGACATAATAGGCCTCATGCACTCTGGGCTTAAAAAAGGCGTTTGGCTTTTTTTCCCTGCCTATAAAAGCACCTCTACGTTAGCCTGTTTGTGCTGCGTACATTGACAATGCTATATAAAAGTACCTGTAATAATAAATAAATCTGCATTTTTTTGCCGTGTTTTTGCTATGGATCAGTGTGAAAGTAGTCTTACTGCGTTTTTCTGCCTCCCTGTGGCTCCTTGGTGGACTCCTATACCTCTCCTTTTTCCCCTCTCCTCCGTTTATTTGAAACAAGTACTGCACATTAGTTGTGCCCATGCACACTACAAATCCCACAGTCCACCATGGGTGTGAGCAAGAGAGAGTGTCAATGGCAGTTATTTACTAAAACTACATGCTGCAAAATCTCCTGCACTCTGCGTAGAAACCAATCAGCTTCCAGGTTTTATTGTCAAAGCTTAATTGAACAAACTGAAGTTAGAAACCGATTGTGTAAGTGCATTTCAACACTTGGTGGTGGTGGTGGTGTAGTACCGGCTCGGAAGGTATTGTACGGGCCTGAAATACTCAGTATTGATCTCTGTGCAGAGCGAACTGTAACACAGCAGCTGGTGGTGGGGGCCAAATTTCATCTAACAAGTACAAGATCCTTTTCTGATGTCAGAACATAAAAAAAAACATCTGTGATCATACCAGAAACAGACCCCCGCATTCAGTTCTCAAGCAAGGAACACAAAACCATTGAAAAGACCCAAAGTAATGGATATTAAGTCCTCATGCACACTGGACGGTTTTTCAGCTGCTGTTTTTGGCTTTTGGTGGTTTTTTCTACAGCCAGTAAACTCCACGGCATGTTATCCTATGTGTCCATACACACACAGGCTCTAATCAAGTGTTGTTTTGGCAGGGGCATTTCTTGACTGGAAAAAAACCCAAAAACTAGTGGGTTTCTAGAGGAGTTTTTTTAGGTGGAAAAATGCTCTAACACTGAAAAATGCAGTAAAACACGGCAAAATAGCGTTTTTGGACTTTTTTGGAGCAAAAAAAAAATCAATTTTTTGGTAAAAAAAAAAACACTAAAAAATGCAAACGCAGCTAAATGCTAAAAAACATGCGTTTTTAAATGTGACTTTACACAGCGTTATTATAATGCCCAGTGTGCATGGAGCCTAAAGAGCAAGCTTGTAGCAAAATAATGTTGCAAAATGTATTACAATTACAGTTATAATTCTCACAGGGATACAATTATTTACAATAGAGAGAAGAGGAACTACAATTTTAAGTGATGCTGCTAACAAAACCCAAAAGGTGCCAGAAGTTGCCCACATTGGGTCTCATGCACCCATGTACATGAGACCCAAAGGGGGCAACTTCTGGCACCTTAAGGCCATACAACGTAAATTGTGGGTGTATCTCTGCACCCGGGAGACACAGCTCCTGTGTACAACCGCCCATAGTAATGAAAGGCTGTGTCCCTCACCGACATTTGTTCTTCTTCTGTGTCTGCCCCCATTGCAAGCTGCTTGCTGCAAGGGCAGACGTGCGGGATCACTCTCAAACTGGGTTGTGTGTGTCCTCAGACACACACAGCATGCCTCAGCCCCCCCCCCCAGGATTTGATTGTTTGATTGACAGAAGCAGGAGTCAATGTCTCCTGCTGCTGCCCGATCCTCCTGTGAGAAGAGCTGCTAACGGACACAGCACTGGATCGATACAGTACAGGAGTCAGGCAAGTATTTGGGAGGGCACAGCAAGTGGCAAACGTTTACCTGAATGCTGGCAATGCATTAAGGTGAAAATTTTTTTTTAACATTTAATAGGATTTAGAAGGGGATTGGGAGTAGGTTTCACATGACGTTTTTTTCTCCTGAACGCCATTCTAAACTGCCCCTACACTCTGCTGCTGCTAAACTCTGATAAAAGCCTATGTGTGCATGGACACATAGGTTTTTGTTGAGTTGAGTTCAGGGGCTTTGTCAAAAAAAAAAAAAAAAAAAAGCTAAAGCTCCTGAACTCACGTTTAGGAGCAGCATTGTACATGAGGCCTTACAGTTGTCTTTGGGACAGGAAATAAAAAGAAATCTCATCAAAAGGACAAAGAAAATAACTAAAACCTGATAGGATTCCAACCATATCTTATTCTTCATCCAAAATAAAAAATAATTCCTGTAAACCCAGAGGCCAACTGGAAAATTATAAAGTAGACTCTTGGGCAGCACAGTGGCTAATGGTTAGCACTTCCACCTGGCAGTACTAGGGTCATTGGTTTGAATCCCAGCCACGGCACCACCTGCCTGGAGTTTGCATGTTCTCCCTGCGCAGGTTTTCCTCCAGGTACTCTGGTTTCCTCCAACAGGTAGGTTAATTGGCTCCTGTCTAAATTGGTCCTAGTATGTGTATGTATGAATATAAGTTAGGTAGCTTAGATTGTACGCCCCTTGAGGGTTAGGGACTGATGTGAATGAAATGCAATATATATATGTGTATGTATGTAAATCGCTGCGTAAATTGACGGCGCTATACAAGTACCTGAAATAAATAGACTCACCTTCCTTAAGCATGCCCACACGAAGGCACTTGGTAAAACGACAAGCCTGGCATGCCTTCCGCCTTCGCTTAGTAATTTCACACTCATTAGTGGCTGGACAGCTGTATTCAATATTTCCTATTAAAGACATGTCAAAGAAATATCAGTATACCATTAAATAAATCTGATACAGTACTGCACCGCAATGGGGGTTATTTACTAAAACTGGAGAGTGCAAAATCTGGTGCAGCTCTGCAAAGAAACCAATCAGCTTCCAGGTTTTTTTTTTTAACCAAAGCTTAACGGAACAAGCTAAAGTTAGTAGCTGATTGGCTCCCATGCACAGCTGCTCCAGATTTTGAGTGCTCCAGTTTTAGTAAATCTCCCCCACTGTGGGCAAGCTTAGTTTTGACAAGCCTTTTTTAACAGAAATAGTCATTTTAAGAGGTGAAGAACTGTAATTGCCTGCAGTTTATTGCCTTCTTATTTGTTGTTCTTCAATTTCATTATTGGGCTTTATTTATAGTGGCCATTTGAAACCTTATAAAAATAAACTCCGCTTGCAAACGTTATGTTCTTCCAGTAGATCAGGTAGACTCTTGAGAGACGCAGCTAAACACTTCTCAGGTCATCCCATGGCGGAAAAGTTGTGAAATAAAATATTCACCTAAACCAAAAGTTTGCCCACGCAGGGCAAAGCAACACGTTTTCCTTATTCTCCACCCTCCTGACCTGCACACTGACCATTCTTTTATCTCTCCCACCATTCCACTGAGCCACTGCAAGTGAAAGAAGAAAGCTCTGTGGAAGCTGAACGTTGTGTTTAGATGCTTACACAGGGCTGAAGACTCTCTTCCTGCTCTCTCGTGATAGCGATGGGTCCCCCTCAGCCAATTATTAAAAACCAGCACTGACATGATGATGGAAGGGGAGCAAGTCTCATGCTCCCCATATCTGAAAGTATGGGCTATTAGTCCACACTTGTGGTGGTCATATGAACCAGCAGGGAAATGAAGGCAAGCAAAGTACAACTGGGGAGAGTGGCAATTCAGTGAATCTGTTGCTCTGTTCTGCATAGTAAAGAACAGGTTCACTTTAGGACTTAATTCAGACAAGCAAAATTTCAATAGCCTATGTGTTCTGACATGTGCTACAACTGACACTCAGCAAAGCAATAGGATGACAGATGTCCATTTAAACAGACATATTATGCCCCAAAACACAAAGGGTGTTCTGACAGATGCTGAAGAAAAAAAATCTGACATCTGTCAAAGTTCCATTCATGTAGGGGCATTAGAGACTTACTTGCTCACACTGAGATGCACTGTGTTTATCAAGGACAAATTTTGTTTTGGATAGTGTGGAAAGCGATCAGAACCCCTGTCTCATTTTACTGCTTTTTGGGTCTCTATTAGAGATTTCCCTTATCGTCCCTGCCAAATAGGTTTCTCCAGAAAAAAAAAAAAAAAAAAAAGGAGGGGCAGTGGGGGAAGGGGAAGAGGCTGTATTCACACAGAATGGGGTGCCAGGAATGGCCACTGACAGACACTGAACAGCCTCAGATTTTTTGCCAGAAGAGAAACATACCAGTTCATACAATATGTGCAAACAGCAGAAACACAGCCACTTGTGCAAATCATTGAGCAGCCTCTTCGCATTTATTCCAGGAGTTCAATGCAATTAGGGACTTTGACTGGTCATGGATGCACACGGTTTTGCATCCAGGAATGACATTTCCAGCTGTGCACAAACTGGCTGCAGCTAATTGGCTAGTTTGTCTGTGCCCATAGCATATAGTGTATTGTTGCCTCGGAACGCAGCAGCCTATTTATCCAGATCAGCCATCTGAATCAGCTCAAACACAGAAAAACATTTATGACAGGTGCACAGACAGCTTTACATTGCTTTCTCTGTACCCACCACAGATTTTATCCTCATTCCCTGTTTCTGTACAGTAAATAAAGCTAAATCTCTTTAATGGTGCAGAGATAGCAGTAAAATCCTGATAGGGGTTCTAATCCCTTCCAACTCTAGCTGATACAAAAAAAAAATGGCTTTACATATACATCAGGTAGTTATAAGGGCAGATGCTCCCACATTTTGTAGTTTACGTTGTGCTGGCAAAGGTCATGCTATCACCTCTAGTACCAAAGCAGCTAAAGATCTGTAGAAAAAAAAAATATTAAGCTTGCCAAAATCCTTGTCCTAAAGGGTAATAAAGCCTTTTTCACATGGGGCGGATCTGTCTGCCGATCCCCTGCTAATCAGAGCAGAGAAGGCGAATGACAGGACCTTGTCTGCTCAGTTTATGCAGAGCAAGTACCGACAGAACCCACCTTGCTCTGTGGGCGGCCGGATGTAAACAGACTCCGCTGTCCATTTACACCTAGACAGAGGCGGACGGATCCCCTTCCATTTTTTTTTTAGCAGACCGGATTCTATTGGAGGAAGGCAGGAGTAAACAGACAAGTCTGTTTACACCTGCCTGTTCATAGGGGTAATGGAGGGTCTGATCAGGTCTGCCTGAAAAACTGACAGGCGGACCTGATCAGACTCTTCATGTCAAAGGAGCCTAACTGTTCTTTTGTTAACAAAACTGGATTTTCACCTGACTTTTATTTCGAGAAATGAAAGTCTTACCTTGTATTGTACGTTTGAAGAAAGCTTTGCAAGCTTCACATGAAGCCACGCCATAGTGGTATCCTGAGGCCACATCACCACACACAAGACAAAGCCTCTTGGGGATAGAATTTAGAACATATTTGCCTCTCCCAGCAGTATCATCCTGCTCATCGTCTCCACCTCGGCAACAACGAGGGCCTTGTGTATCAGGTCCATGACCGCTGCTGTCACTGGAACCACTAGGACTTCTACGGCCAATGCTCTCTGGGGTCCCTGGTTCTGCTTTAATACACAGGTCGGGACGTCTGTCACGAGAAGACATGATATAGAGGAGTTCTGGAAAAAAAAAAAATTTAATAAAAGTTAGTGGAATAAAAATCAAAGCAATGGGCAACACTACCTCATACACAGAGTTGCTAACAGTGTTAAAGTCTTGGTTAACCAAAACTCTTTTCCTATTGTAAATAGATTGTGGAAGCGTTAGAGCCCCTGTCAGATTTCTGCTACCACCTGGGGATCTGTTAGCCCCTATTCACACCACTCTGTAGTTATTTTCTTATGCCTGACTACACCCAACATCCAGAATACCATTGTATGTTATTGTGCCTGTTCAACATTTGCTGGTACCCTACGATGCCCTACACTCAAAGAAGTACATGAACTTTTTTTTTTTAATTACCAAGGCTTATTTGCTGCTTAGACTTCAATAGGAGTGTTTGTAAACTCGTGGCACACACATTTTAACTTCTGAAAACCTTCTCTCCTCCTCTAGAACTGCTATCATCCCCTTTCCCCCTTGCTTACTGTCCTTCAAACTTTAAAGGGGGCCACACTGCGGGGAGTAGAAAATGTCCAGGTGTCAGTGGGAGTAAACAATGCCCCCTGATTGGTATTAGGGGGAGTAATAGTGTCCTGTGATTGGTGACAATGTGAGGAATAATGTGCCTTCATTGGTGTCAGTAGAAGAAATAGTGCACCATCATTGGTGTCAGTGGAAAGAATAGTGCACCATCATTGGTGTCAGTGGAAAGAATAGTGCACCATCATTGGTGTCAGTGGAAAGAATAGTGCACCATCATTGGTGTCAGTGGAAAGAATAGTGCGCCATCATTGGTGTCAGTGGAAAGAATAGTGCACCATCATTGGTGTCAGTGGAAAGAATAGTGCACCATCATTGGTGTCAGTGGAAAGAATAGTGCACCATCATTGGTGTCAGTGGAAAGAATAGTGCACCATCATTGGTGTCAGTGGAAAGAATTAGTGCGCCATCATTGGTGTCAGTGGAAAGAATAGTGCGCCATCATTGGTGTCAGTGGAAAAGAATAGTGCGCCATCATTGGTGTCAGGGGAAAGAATAGTGCGCCACCTTTGGTGTTAGTGAAAAGAATAGTGCTCCATCATTGGTGTCAGTGGGAAGAATAGTGCTCCATCATTGGTGTCAGTGGGAGGAATAGTGCCCCATCGTCGATGTCAGTGGCAGGAACGATGCCCCACTGTTGCTGACAGTGGCAGGAATAATGCTCCAAGGGCCAGATAAAAGAAAGCAAAGGGCCATGGTTTGGAGATCACTGGTATATGCTATATTCTTTTTTTTTCCCCACAAAAGCGGAGTTATCCTTTAACTCTGCTACAGCAACCCAGGGTGTCCCTCTTGCACATTTGCTCTTCATGTCTTGTCTACTGAAGCCATTTTAATCAGGACAGGAAGTGAGGGAAAATCTTTCTAATGGAACCCAAACAGCAGTAAAAATGGCTTAAAATAGTTTATGGGCTGCTACAACATTCTGCAATGGTTGCTATGGGCTACACCTCCACTTTCCAATGCCACCAGTGTGCTTTATTGTTGTTCAGCTGTGAATGATTAACCCTCATACTGCCACTGATCTGTGATAAGAGGCAAGGATCTGTACTGCCTATAGAAACTAGTTATGATTGCAGATGTGATTCTTCCAATAAAGGTTGGAGAGCAGACATCTAAGTGCTTGCATTGCAAAGCACACACTATTCCTTTCTTCTATTCCTATAAAATATGCCCCATAATCAACCTAACTCCTAGCACAATAAACACGAAAGAGGAAAATTCTAGACATTCACATTAGTGCAAAGACTGGATCTACAACTAGAATGACTATTGGGGGGGGAGTTTACTAAAACTGGTGCACGCCTGCATGGTAGCCAATCAGCCTCTAACGTCAGCTTGTTCAGTTAAGCTTTGACAATAAAACCCAAAAGCTGAATGGTTTCTATGCAGAGCTGCACCATGCAGTTTAGTACATAACCCCCCTATATGTTGTCAGCACACCAACAAAAGCTTGTTTCATAGTACAAAGATCTGCTTTACTGCATGATCATATGGAAAAAATGTTTCAGGACCACGCATGGGGACCCTTCATCAGGCAGGTGGTAAGATTGTTATCATACAGGATTAATATAGCATCAACAGTTTGCACAATGCTTTACAAAATAAGAGGAGACAGTACAGTCACAAAACAATTCAATCTGGGAGGGATAAACAGCCCATAGATTATGCAATTTTTTTTTCCTTCCACTGCTCACGCAGCACTATTGTGTTCTGCCGGCAGAACACAACAATCACTGCTAGCGCCTATAGCCACCGGCAGTGATCACAAATCCGACAGGCTGGTTGTACTGAAGTCAATTGATGCATTGAGCTGGTCCCTGGTGAACCGTCCATGATTCAACCTATCAATGGCCAGATTTAGTAGACTCGCAAGGACTTACAATCTAAAGGCATGACATGATAAGAACAGTCCCTGCGCGCGGTCCTGAAACACTGTCTATGAGACCATACAATAAAAAGAGCTTTGCACCATGAAACAAACTTGTCTGTGTGCTGATGACATATATTATTCATGTTATACACTGTGACCAGTCAGATGTCGATGCCGCACATTTTTTACCATATGGTTCATTCCAGTATGGTGTGTGAAAGGAATACACTTCATTAATTTACAATTATACACAACAGGTCTGTGCCAATAGGTGGAAAAGGCACAGAGGCCACTTTCAGCCACACTTTTTTTAATCGTATTCAGTAAATATACAGTTATCTCATAAGATTATTTACCCATATGACTATGGAATTAGAAGCATGGGAAAATTATCAAGCATTCCAGAGGTTCTGTGATTAAGCAGAGATACACTAGAGTGGTATATATTTCTTTACGGAAACTTCATCCAACAGAGAAGGAAAATACAACTATCCAAGAACTTGATCATTCATCATCCATAAGAGTGAACCTAAACTCAAATGGTAACCTAAAGCCATACTAATCTTACTGTGATGCACAAAAACTGCAATAGAAAGGATCCGATACCTACTTTTTATGGAAAAAGTCTGCTGTAATTTACCTCCAGTGCTGGCAATGTTTCTGAAATGGTCATGTGATCTGCTCAAAGAGGAACAGAGTTCAGACTGCCATTTTTCCATTAAGAAGGAATCATATGCGCAGGCCTAGGCCTCAAGGTGCACAGGCCTTCAGACACATAGCAATGGAATGAGGAAGAAGGGTTAGCCGCACACCGGAGGATTGATGAAAAGTAACAGATAATTTATTGATCCATCGAATACAAAGAGCACCAGGACATGTACAAAGCTGTTAACGCGTTTCAGGCGATCATGTGCTTATTTATAGCAATATAATTGTGTTATAAATAAGTATGTGATCGCGTGAAACGCGTTAACAGCTTTGTACATGTCCTGGTGCTCTTTGTATCCGATGGATCAATAAAGTTATTCAATGGATCAATAAATTATCTGTTACATTTCATCAATCCTCTGGTGTGTGGCTAACCCTTCTTCCTCATTCCATTAAATGTGTTGGCGAGCCAGAATCTGCACCAGTCTTGGTTTAATGTGGATTGTTCACCTGAGCAGTAACTCCTCTATTTTTCATAGACACGTAGCAATGACTGGAGGGGGTTCAGAGCAGCTTTTTCTCCAGGTAAGTATCTCAGCCCTTCTATTGTTCTTCAAGTCATCCCAGTAAGCCTGTTAATTAGATCTAAATCTTAACTGAATGACATATAGGGGTTGATTTACTAAAACCATAGCGTGCAAAATCTGGTGCAGCACTGCAAAGAAATCCATCAGCTTCCAGGTTATGTTTCGTCAATGCTTATATGAATAAGCTTTCGGTTTTAGTAAATCAATCCCAGGTTTGCTAAAGTGCTGTGGCGCATCTTAAACAAATAATTTCCTTTTCAGTCATAAAATACGATTTTCATCTCTTGTGTACATGCGCTACCACGAGTGTTGGCTGCACACAGATTCATCCATGGCCAGACATTCATCCCCACCTGCAGGTAACTACTATTGTGCGAATACATGCATGCCTCCTTTCAGCCTGTAATTTCTTTGATGAGCAACCACAGCTGTTTGCATCCACCTGTAATCCCAGCGACAAAAATCCTCTGATTCTTGCTGCCGGAATACACTATATGCAAACAGCCATCGGCGTGAAGGCAGCCTTACTTACTTGTTAAATTTTGCTTTCCCTCTGCTTGCATATTCCAATAAATTGCTTTCTAAATACTTGTCTTTTTTTTTTTTTCCTTTGCGATCCCCTGACTGCAAAGCATCAGCTGATATGTTCACTGTGGGCGGTCAACAACCGTGCAGAATTCCCTATATCCATGCTGACATCCCGCTGGTGTCCATAGCTCCCACTGCTGTTGACGGGCTGCCAGGCCAAGAGAAGAGTTCAGGCCACAATCTGCAGAGAAAAAAGGAGATGGGCCTGGAGAGCGCTGGAGCTCTGCAGTCATATGACCACAGAGAAAAACTAAAAATACAAATATTCAGAAAGAGATTTATTGAAAAATGTAAGCAGAAGGGGGGGGAGAGAGGGGGAGAGCAGGGGGAGAGCAGAGGGAGAGCAATGTTTACCAGGTAAGTTATTGTGATGCCTTTCCTTCTACTTTAAGAAAGAAAAAACTATCGTGAAATCCTAAACATAAGGAAGCATTGACATAGAACCAGAACAGTAAGGAAGACTAGTATGAACTGCAAGGGAATGAAGTTAGTCACCTTTGCACTGTTTAAACCTATATGGTTACGTTAGACTGGTTTAGCAATAACCTCGGGGTATAAAGAACAACACAGGAGCACAGTTGTAGCAACAGAACAATGTCTACAAGAACCAAAAAGTGTTGGAGCCACTTTACTTGTTCTTATTGTGTAAGGAAAGAACAAATGACAGGTGTTAAGCAGGCCATATACGGAGCAAATGTCTTCAAGAAATTTGCTTGATTCCCCCCATCAACACAGACAGAGTTGACAGGGGAATCCCTCACGTTGAG